GGCTGTATCAGATAATGACTAGTCACCACATAACGTCAGTTAAGTTTGAAGACATGATGTACAAAATACAAAACTGGCCTCATTTATTCGGCTTTTCCAACAAACAAGTCTTCGCGGTAATGTCGTTTTTTGTATTCGCGGTAATGTCGTTCGCGGTAATGTCGCTGTATCGTAATTTCCTGCAAAAGTATCTATCCGGAAAGTATCGAGAGTCAGTTTTGCAGAACATCGAACGAGCTATTCAACGGTAAAAGAATTTTCTTCCAACTATTTTTGCTCGAGTATAAAATGCAAAAAACAAACGTAAAGCCGTGTCATTCTTCGTAACGGCATGACATACTTTCACACCACTTTAGGCACTAAATGTTGTTCATAAAACTTCATACTTATAGCCTGTGTAGTTCTAGGTTTCCTCAAAAGACTCCAGTTGAAAATAAGTTCGAAAAATTCTCTAAGACTTTGAGACAAAGGCGGAAGTTGAAACTTTCAAACAACCACTGTGTCTCGACCGAAAAATAGATCTCAAAATAAAATGAGCCATTTTGTAGAGAATTCTCTATTCAATGGTATGTTTTAAAAATCTTTGAACAAAATGTCTAGATCAGAAACTTGAAAATAAAAGTTTTATATTGAAAACTAATTTTTTCTTCAAAACAAACGTCAGATTCCTGATTAGCATGAAAAGCTGCGTCTAGTGATGTGCCCCTATCGATTTTCGATGAAAACAAATTCAAAAAAACTCGATTAGCGAAATGTCACGTTACGTGGACAAGCCGCAGACTTCCTTACCTGTTCGATCATAAATATCATATTTTTCATTTTTCAATTGATATTCAGGATGACCGGACATTTCTAATTTTAATAATTTTAAATAAATGTTTTCAATTATGTGCAATAATTTCAATTGTTCACTTAATAATATTATTTTTTGTTTCATATTTTGATGTAAATCAACGTTACAAAATGTTAATTGACGTTTATGATCTTCAATATCATCTAATGTCAAAATAAATTTTATTTTCTCTTCTTCTCGTTGTTGTTCCTGTTCTTCATTATCAATATCATCGTCTTTCTTTGATTGAATTTTTTTAACTGAATATTCAATTTCAAAGAATGATTGTTCATTCATTAATCGTTTCAAATGTATATTAACAACACCGGATTTATACAAATGTTCCATTGTAATTAATGCATTATCTAAAACTGTTGTATCTTCGAAAGATAACCACATACTTACTAATTGTATGTTATCATACACAACTATAATTAAACAGATAAAAAAGTATAAAAATAAAATTTCAGATTATTATTAGTCGAGCTTTTGTAGGTTACATCAGGTTGAAGTTATCATTAAAAAGCAAAGTAATGACGATAAGACTCACATTGTGCACAGTAGGCAGTTTTAGCTAGACACGTGGACATGTACTAGAAAAATCGGTACGAAACTCTCTAAGCACTGTTTTTATAGAAATTCATATCTGCTCTTTCCAGAGAGATATTTTTCAAACTTACCAAGTATGTAAGAACTGATTTTCCAGAGACTGGATCTCTGAAAAACCAGTGCAAACATACTTTGAAAGTTTGAGGACCACGTCGTTGAGAAGAGGACATATGAAAAAGGGGGCTTAGAGATTCATTCAACTGAATACAAATATTTTTTGTTCGGAAATACCCTAAACACACATCATTCGATGCAGGTTTTGACGCTGATTCCGAATATGTTATTATTTTTTAAACAAACATGTGTCTAACCCGAGAAAAGTGGATTTTACCTGTAAATCTGTAATTCATGTCAGAAACGTTTACTCTAATTTACGCTGACAGCACAGATGTATCGCTAGTAAAAGAAGATTTCATGAAAGTTTCGTCGGTATATAGGTAGAGTGAAATGTTTAGTTTCAAACGTTGTATTTTTATAAATATTGTATTCTATTTTGCTAAAAACTATTTTTCGATCTTCATCACTCTGTTTCTCGACAAAATTCCCGTCTCGATTTTCTCACTAACCATGGCACTTAGAACAAAACTTCCTATGACGATTAAATAGACCATAAGTTGGAGTATATGATCTGCTATCCGAATGTTGAAAAAGCTCACTTTTGTTTTTCCACCTAATGTCCACTGTGTAGCGTTGCGACAATATGTTGATCTCATTATCCCGTAACTATGCATTCTCTGAACTTCTGCAATGTAGGGCACAAAAACGCAGATCACACTCAATCATCGTTTAGCCGGTACTCGGAAACGATTCGAGTGAATTTTTGGCATGTTAAAATGTATCATAAAAATGATTACTTCTTATGTGATTTTAACACATTAACAACTAATGCACAATCTAAAGTTATTTTAATTAATGCTAAATGTTGTAATTAATAAGATTAATTTAATTTAAGTTTTATAAACTTTAACAATTTCTTTTAATGAACAATTATTATTTGCACTTGAATCTAATAAATTTGATATTGATTCATCATCACCATCACCAATATCATCTGCTTTTAATATATCAAACATTCGAATACAATCTATAATTGTTGATATATAACAACTATATTGATATACTTGTAACCATTCACATACTTGATTAATTTCTTCTTCACTTGGATTTTCACTTATTGTTATTGTTGTTATTGTTAAATGTTTTTGTTGCTGTGTATTAGCTAATCTTATTGAACGATTTGTAAATAACTTTTTAACTTCATCTCTAATACGTATATTTTGCCCACAAAAGATTGTTTTTAATTCAGACATTTCATTAAGATTAATTGTACCATTTAATAAACGATCAATAAATTTAAATACTTCATCGACTAACTGACTAGCTTCATTATCTTTTATTATTGTTTGTTAAAGATAAATACGTTGATAAAACATACTAAATATACCATCAAATAGATGGCATGTTGATAAATTTCGACGTTTTAAACGATGCCAAATTGTTCTTGATTGTTGCTGTTGTTGATTATAAATAATAATGGTGGCAAATCCACTCCGTTGTGTTTCAAATTCATCACATAAAACTTGTTTATTAATATTTATATTGTCTTGTTTATATAATATTTCACAATGATTATTTATTCCATATATAAATGTAATTTCAATATTACATGGTAAATTTTCAAATGCTAATGACCATTATACATTTTATTTTTCATTAATTGGTAATAATTTTTCATTTTGACATTTTTCATCAACAATAAATGTATTATTTGATAATGAATGTTTTAATTCTTTAATATAATCTTGTGTATGTTGTTGATTATTTATTGTACCATTGTTAATAATTTGAAATTTTGTTAAACAATTAAATAAATAACATAAGCGCCGTAAATCACTGAATGATTTTAATAATTTTAATATTTTTTCAACTATTTGTTTAAACTATGATACGTTTAGGACAGAAGAAAAGTCGACAATCTATCGGTGAGTTATTGACAACATTTATTTAAAATTATTAAAATTAGAAATGTCCGGTCATCCTGAATATCAATTGAAAAATGAAAAATATGATATTTATGACCGAACAGGTAAGGAAGTCTGCGGCTTGTCCACGTAACGTGACGCTTCGTTGATCAAGTTTTTTTGAATTTTTTTTCATCGAAAATCGATAGGGGCACATCACTGCACGCAGCTTTTCATGCTAATCACGAATCTGACTTTTGTTTTGAAGAAAAAATTAGTTTTCAGTATAAAAATTTTATTTTCAATTTTCTGACCAAGACATCTTGTTCAAAAATTTTTAAAACATACCATTGAATAGAGGATTGAATTCTCTACAAAATGGCTCATTTTATTTTGAGATCTATTTTTCAGTCGAGACACAGTGGTTGTTTGAATGTTTCAACATCCGCCTTGGTCTGAAAGTCTCAGGGAATTTTCGAACTTTATTTTCAACTGAAGTTTCAGGAAACCTAGAACTACACAGACTATAAGTATGAAGTTTTATGAACAACGTTTAGTGCCTAAACTGGTGTGAAAGTATGTCACGCCGTTACGAAAAATGACACGGCGTTACGTTTGTTTTTTGCATTTTATACCCGAGCAAAAATAGTTGAAAGAAAAGTTCTTTTAGCGTTGAATAGCTCGTTCGATGGTCTACAAAACTGGTTCTCGAAACTTTCCAGATAGATACATTTGCAGGAAATTACAGCTTTATCATCAGTTCTCAAAATTCAGGACCCTTTTATGTCAAGCCGGTACGCACTGAAGAAGCCTTTCTGAAACTTGAAACTTGAACAGAAAAACTTCATGTTTACCGTAAACATGAAGTTTTACGTTGACTGTTTACGTAAACAGTTTACGTCATAAGTAGAGTAAAGCGAGCTGCGTCGAATGGCGCTAGAATGAGCTTTCTAGTTCTTATAGGTTTTGAGGTAATTAAAGATAAGTGTGTCAAAAATGTCACGCCGTTACGTTTGGACAATCCGATGATTCAAATCATTACTTCAATAATCTCGTTTAGGCCGATATAAATAAACAAATGTAGAGCCGTTATCTGGAAACTAATGTCCCATGCTGCTATTAGGCCTTTTCTGGATAGATCACTGGAAACTTAGTCTCTATAGACTCATCGCATACTATCAGATGAACAACTCTTAACAATTGCACATTATAGAGCAGATCGAGTTACCTATGTACACAAGTTTTCACGACCACCCGGTATGTTTTCATAGAATTATAAAATTTTACTGTGAAAAACACTGAAAAGTTCAAGCTTCTCACTGAATTAAGAATTGATTTTATTAGCGCAAAATCGACTTTGCATACGGAGGACAGAATCAGTTCAAATTTTTTTTCTGAAGAGCTTATTGTATGAATCGACGGTCAGAAAAATATCTCTTGATTCAAATCACTGTTCGCATTTTGGAGGGAAAAGTGGCGCCACTCAAAACGCGCAACTAATCGCGCCAAAATGCGAAAAGTGATTTGAATCAAGAGATACTTTGCTGACCGTCGATTCACACAATAAGCTCTTCAGAAAAAAAATTTGAACTGATTCTGTCCTCCGTATAAAAAGTCGATTTTGCGCTAATGATCGACACTTGAGAAGCTTCACAGTGGGTGATACTTATAGCACTGACTGAGCTGAAATTTGAAACTCCAAAAGGTCACTTTTTTCATGCACAAACCAGATAAACGGCTGAAAGTTTCAGAATGGATTGAGAAAGGGTTGGTGTATCAAAAACCAATGCCAAAAGTTTCGATAAAAACCATTTAGACCTCTTTCCGAGAAAAACAGTTTTCCACCAAACGACAAGAAAATGCTGTAGGCTTCGGCAAAACTTGTGAGTATATGAATAAGATAGAGCAAACAGTTACCAAATCTTGTACAGAGCTCGGTAGTGAGATACTTCTATTCGAAAAACTTCACCAATAAGGAATGTACAGTTAGTGAAAAAGTCGAATATCGATTTTTCCATTAAAACGATGCTACTGAAACGACATCTATAGTTCTAGAACAAAACATTTTGAAATCATTTTAACCGTAAGCCAGTTTATATATGACTATATGTAACAAAATTTTAGCTCAGTTGGTGACGATCACATTCGATATTAACGACTATCTAATTTTCACGTTGCTAGTTTGACTCCAAAGTTCAACTTGTACTGCAAACTGTTTCTTTTATCTAGGTAGAATTGATGCTATATTAAAAACTGATGATCAGTCAGTTAGAAGCCATCAGTTAGAATGCCAGCAGTCAAAAAACGTACAGAAAATTTACAGTCAATTGATAATGCATTACAAGTAATACATGATACGTGGATACGTGAATTAGAACGTTATCGAAATGAATAGTATTTATTGAAATTATTTACAAATCGTCAAATAATGATACTAATCTTATTATTAACACCATCAACAGCACAAAATAAAAATAGATATCATTCCTTGAAAAAATTATATTCATGGACAATAACAAAAAATACAACAATAAATGAAAATAATGAACATGAACAAGAATTAACAATGAAATGTTTGTATCATTATTTACATTCATTAAAAATACAAGCAATTGATTTATCTGATAAAGTATTAATACAATTATATGACGAAAATAAAATTCATGATGGTGATAATATTGAAAAACGTCTAAAAAGATTATGTGAATTTCTCAATCAAATATTCGATAAAGATAAACGATTATTTAAAAATTTATTATCAACAGCAAATAATGAAAATCAACAATATTTGGTTAAATTATCGAAAAAGATATTAAATCATAACGATACGGATACAAAGAAAATAGAAAATGATTTCGATATGGAAACATGTTGTATTCTATTAAGTACAATTAATAATCGATTACCATCATTTTATCAAATATTATGATGTACAATAGCAACTGAAGACGATATAAAATTATTTTATTCACGTATTTGTACATTTACAAATTTAATATTTGTTGTTATTGATATAGATAAAATACATCATCGTCTACGTAAATTAATATTAAATGAACAAGATCAGTTAAGTAAATTACAAACACAACATGCAACAGTATACTATTTTTCAAGAGAATTAACACTTAGAAAGGTATGAAACCATTTATAATTGCACCAAAACATAAAAATCCATATATTATTTAAACACAATTAAAAAACTTACAAAATAATTCTGTACAACCACAAATACAAATTATTTATGGAACAGCTGGCATTGGTAAGTTCTACTTTCTTTCCTATGGTGATTTCGATCGATATTACACTGAATTTAGTTTGGCACATACTGTCAAGTCTATTTCGCCTATTACAATTATGAAAGGCTACGAAATAAAAGTCGCTTGAGAGGAAAGATAGAAAAACAGAAAAGCAGAGTTCCCGGTGCACTCAGAAACTTCTTATAACTTTTGAGTAGAGTATCGCAGAATTTGTCCCCATTCGACAGTTCTACTTTTCGACAAACAGCTTTCGATACTGTCGGATTTTTCGCTCGAAATTCGACAGTGTCAAAAGCCTGTCAAATTTCGTGCGCAAAATTTCAAACAGACTAGAAATTCGACAGATTTTTCGCTTCACTTCTGTACTAGAGAAGCAAAAGCGTAAACACGTAGAGGCGTAGACAATCCCTACGTCTTTACGTCACTATTTCACTATACCCCTAGGCAAAAACCATCAATAGTCTTCGGGGCTTAGTATCTGGACATTGAACCGGTGTGGTGACTCACTCTCATGCTCACCCCATCCACCTTGCGCTTTTACGTCATTATTCTTTTACGTCTTTTTGAAATTTTTCAATGGAAATTCAACAGCCTTTCGACAATGTCGAATTTTGAGCGAAAAATCTGTTGATTTTTTAGTTTGTCGAAAATTTTTCGCTCAAAATTCGACAGCGTGCTTCGACACTGTCGAATCTCGAGTGTTTCTGTCGTACTGTGAAATTACCGTATCGCAGAGAGTTTAGCAACGTCTCATTTTGAAGAGAAATGTTTGTTTAACAGATAATAAAATTACAGAATATTGTCGAAATATGAAGAGAACTTTAAAGATTTTCAAAAACCTTGTTACTAGGTATTTTAGAAACGTTTTCAGAATCCCTCGGGATGCCTAGCTGTATGAGTTTTTAGGAAGGATTCTGAAAGTAGACGCCAGGGATTATCAAAGCATATGTACAACTGTATATCGCAGTTTTTAGAGAAAACTGAAGTTTCGGAGGCGGGGGGGAGAGGGTCCTCATTAATAAACAGAACCGGATCATCATAGACACACCGAAAAATTGGACAGATTCCAACCAGGATGAAAGCGCGATGTGTTTTTCACGGAATGTCCTAAATAAATAACTTCTAATATGAAAGTCAATAAGTTTTATTTGTGGAATAATATTCAAACATGTATTATCGATAATAGCCAAACAATTTTCGTAGTATTCAAACAACAAATCATGAAGAATAACAATAAGAAGCATCATTAATAACAATTGATGGTATTAATGCTGACGATACAATAAAAATTAGTTTGGGTTATGAAACAAATATTTATTCTATTCAAACATTAAAATCATCAATAATTTATGATTTATTAAGTAAGAACGAACAAATAATAAAATCTTTAAATTTAAATATATCTATTGATGATTGTGTTCTATTAATTGAAAATAGTGATAAAAAACGAAAAATACTGCCACAAGATAATATAAAACAACCTGTTGATGATCAAATACCAACACATTTTCAACATATTCATTTACGATGTCCGATAACTTTTCATCCTTGCCTCTCAATATAAACCAAACCAATCCAGTACAATGTGAACATAATGTAAACATAAACAATATTTTCTGAAAAGATCTTCAATACCTTCCCCCTGGGTAGAGAAGCACAACGTCTTGTATGTATCAACACTTTCAGATCTCAACATTAATAAAATTTGATGATAATCAAACTGTTGAAGTACCAATATCCAATAGAAATATAACAATTACAGAATTATTAACAAAATTTTCTATGACAACAACAGCAACAAGTAATGAATATAAATATTTGGCAACGATGAATACACATCAAATAATTGAAAATAATCAAGAAATTGTTTCGAATTTATGTGAAACAAAACTTTTACTTGTTAAAGATGAAACATGTTTAGTTTCAGTTGAAAAATTAAGTAAAAATTGTAAAAACAAAAAAAATTATAAACGTTTTTTAATGAATTCAACAATATCAGATGTCTATAAACAATGTCAAATTTCAAATTTCAAATGCATTCAATTTAATTGTTCACACTCAATCACATGTGAACGTTTATGTCAAATAAGTTGTCTATTATTTAAAGAAAATGTGGAATTTTATGCATTAGAATATGATGGATCGGAAATGGACGCCAC